TCTCAAAGATGACTGCCAGTGGTTCTGAGATCACATCTGCCAGTTCTTTTAATACTCTTGGAAGTACTCAAGGAAGTCATGTTTCTTCTGACTAGACTAGTACCTGCCCCCACCCAAACCAATTACCTTTTAATATCTCACTTAGAAAAAAGATTTTTCCGAGGAAACCAGGCAACTGGATGCCTGCTTCCAAAATCCTCTATTCTATAAGAAAGACCAACACAGCAACATTTATGCTGCTGTGAGTAAACTGAACCCCTTCTAAGAATATGTGAAACCAAAGGTTTGGCAGAGAATGAAATGGATCCATCCATCCATCTTTTACTTCAACAAAATTCTGAAATGGGTTGCAAAGTGTGGAACAGATTCCAAAATCCATTCCAGTCTCTTGGAACCTCCACAGCTCAGAGCACATGAAGTGGAGAAGCACCTCTGAGGTGTTTTGGGATGCCACCTGGTGCCTGGAATGATAGCATTTGGTGCAACCTGAAGGTGGTGCCTTCAAACAACTAAGGCATGCTTTTATGCAGCCACAGCCAGTATCTGCTGGGGTTGGAACACATGAGTCCTAGTACAGCTCAAGGATGTCCCGGGCCATCCATAGAAGGTCCTCTCTCATGCTCAAGCCTCTGGTGTAGCTAGCAGATGATGTTTAAACCATCCACAGGTCATGCAAGGTGCAATGAGCACATTTCTGAAGAGGTCAAACTGCACTGCAGTGTTGTTGGTTCTGTTCCATCTCCTTGGATTTCCTCTGTGGTAGAATTCTGGAATAACTTGAATCCCTTCTTGAATTCTCCTTCCTTTCCCTTTCTCTAGGGCTAATGCTACAAACTGCCTTCCCACCAATCATGCATAGCAGTTAAATTGGTTTTCAGTGGGTGAGAGTTAAGCAAATGCTGAAGTCATCCACTGAAATAGACATCCTTAACTTTTGTGGATCATGTTTGCCCCTGTGTGAGGATCAGGCCCAGAGCTTGAATTCAATTTCTTTCTATTGTCACAGCAACGGTTTACAACTGAAGAACGTGCTCGTTAGAGTCAATGTATTTATAGCAGCCAAAATAACATTTCAGCCCACAGCATATAGTTGTTTATAGATACCATGTACCAAATGTGTTTTTCTCTTACCTAAGTGGGGAGAAATGCTATTGTGTCCTCTGCAGCATTAAATTACCAATTGGGTCTGATAAACTGAGATCCTCAGCCTGTTGTGTGAGTGATGCTCGTCTGGGTTTTAATTATCATTCAGGACATGTTTTGCCTGCAAATTTATTCTGTGTTGGCTTTCTCTTTTGGGAAGAAAAGCTAGCAGAAGTGAATGTGCGTGTTTCCAAGCCCTCCTGGATAAAAGTCACTGCAGAAAGGCTTTACTAAAATGCTAGATCGCTGTGGTGCTTAATCAGTAAAGAGGGCGTTTAGTCTGAAAGAATCTCAAACCTACTGAAGAAAGGATGCACTCATCCTGTCTCCATAGAGCCTGATTTTCTGAATTTTAATGAAGACGGGAAAATGGCTGAACAACAGAATGAAGCAGAAGAGGAAGACTGGGAGGGACATGCTTCTTTGAAACTTGCAAAACACTGACATCTAGTGAGCACAAACGTGGATCACAAATTCAGGCATGGATTTAGGGAATACCTTGCTGGATTACGTAATCAATTGGGTTGAACTGAATCGACGCTGTATCTAGTAAGACACCAAAATCCGTCTCCACTTTTTCTAATATTTGAACTATTTTGTCTTGCCTGTCCTAAGACTTACATAGCTTTGATGAGACATGCTGGTGTGTTGCGATGTTTCCACAGTCAATATTTTCCATGCACAGCTTTGTATCTGACTTCTTCACCCTATGTTCTTTGAGCAAAGCCTAATTATAACCTAATTAGCAAAATGTGCTTTGCTGTCCTGCTGCCTTTTCTTCCTGAAGAACAGATTCGTTCAAATCATAGCAGCAGAGGAATGTAGTGGCAGCTTCTTTTATTTTTGCTCTGAGCTAAAATAAAGGATGTAAAGTTCAATCATGCTTGCTTATAGTATGTTACAACCTGTTTTATGGACTACAGAATCTCACCCCGCCCCCCCAGAAATCAGAGATGGTGGTGTCAGATGAGAGGGCACTGTATGTGTAAAACATTTTTAATAACTTGAACTGCACACACTGGGACATTCTGAAGTAAGCATATGTAGGATCAAACTATTGATGGCCCAGTCAAAGGCATTACTTTTATATAACTGGGTTTTTTTATATAAAAAATTTACTAGTGAGCAAACTGAGACTTTTAGTTTAATTTTGGCCTTAAAAACACTCCTTTGAACATTAATAATGAGAAGCCTGTAAGCAGGACCTCAGCACAATAGCACTCTCCCTACTTGAGATTCCCAGAAACCGATATATACCTATTGATAGACCATTCTCCATGAATTTCTCTAACCCAGTAATCTGAATCACTATCCTTTGGGATCAAATTCCACAGTTTAACTATGAGCTGTGCGAAGAAGTGTTTACTTTTGGCTATGGCCTTTGAAACTCTCAATGACAAATCCCAGCTTCAGCAAAGAAAGCGAAATTTTTCTTGGCTGGGAAAAGTCCTCACAGAAGCTTTGGAAGAGGAGATGCTAAGGAGAGACACAGTTCTAAAATGTGTGTATTTATTTATATTCTTACATTTGTGCCCCACCTTTCTTCCAAGGTGTCATGCATGTGGTTTCCAGGCAATCACCCATCCAGGCCTTGAGCAGACCTAGGCCTGTTTAGCAAGTTGGTGGCCTTGTGTCTTTTCTGACTGCACTCCAGGTCAGGAGCTGGGAAATGATGGGAAATTAGCGAGGAAAGAGCTCAGGGGCCAGGCGGTTTATGATGAGTCACTGGAAGGAAAAGCAGGAGCCTGAAGGAAAAGACATAAAGGTGAATAAGATCAAAAGGGGAAATAAACAAAACCCTGAAAAGTTGAGGAAATAACTCAGGCCTGGGGACTCAATATGGTCCCCCAGGTCTCTCTGTCTGGCCCCCAGAATGCTCACCAGGCTGTACCCCTCACTAGTCTTGCATATCTTCCCAAATACTTTTGCTAGGCAGGGATGCATCCTTGAACTCTGATAATGCCTCTTGCTTGCCTAGATGGAGAGCAGAGTGTGTAGAAATGAGTGCAGTGTAAAAAGGTAAAATGTACGTTTTATTTTTATTTTTTGCACTACCCACTGCAGTCTAGTCCCCTACTGGCTCTTGGAGAGTTGCCATAAAGGTTATTTGGCCCTCAAACTGAAAAAGGGTCCCCATCTCTAGGTCTGTGAAAAACTATTGCAATATAACAGGAAGATATTGCAAATACATTACTGACGGGAAGGAGGTGAGCAAAAGAAAGAAGAATGCTCTGGGATAGTATTGGCTGAGTGACAGTGCATGCAAAGGTTGAAAGGGGCAGTGTGGAGAAATAGTGCGACCTGAGAGGGAAAATGGATGCTGGAGGTGTAGAACTGAATAAAAAAATGACTGGAACACAGTGGAGCTCAGCAGTTATCTAAATAAGCCTTACAATATCTCATTCTCCTGCACTTATAGTTCAGCAATATCTTGAGGGCCATAGCACCCTCCTGTGGTAAGCACTGTTTTATTTATCTACATATCCCTGAATAATTATTTATATTCATCAGTGTCATCCCAATAAAAGGTCCATGAGAGAGTTGCCATGTGATTTTGTTGCTGTTGCAAATTTGCCAAGCCTTCAAAAGAAAGAAAGAATCCTTCTTTCAATGCTCTCTCGTACCATATACGTAACATTCCGTGTAAGCCAGAGCCTGATCATTTAAATGCCCAATCGAGCAATTTGCACTGATACCTACCTTAGTCCACTGCAGCAAAGACAAAAGAGACTTGGGACACTTTAAGGACTAAAAAGAATTATTATGACATAAACCTGGAGTTGCCAATATGTTATTGGAATAGGCTCTGACTTATGAAAGTTTGTGCCATAATCAATGTGTCCGTGTTTAAAGTGCCAAAAGACTCCAACTCTTTCAATCAAGAAGAAAAGGAAAGTATGAATTGTGTACTTGTGTACACAAGACTCTTGTTTACAACAAAATGAGATTTGTGGCTATACAAAGTTTAGAATGTGATGATCATAAGGACTATTTGGTTTAGGTTTTGGAGTGGAGGCAATGAACAATTTTTGAAGAGTGGCGGCTCTGGAAGGATTAGCCTCTTCCCTAAGCACCATTTTCTCCATTTCAATTTTAAAACAAACAACTTGCATAACAAGACTTAATTCGCCATGGCTGATCAGTGTAGTGCACAATGGCCACAAGATGTCATCATAAGCCTGCTGTGAGGAGTGAGAGCCTCTGTGAATTTGTAACGTACATGTTATTATGTGAGGTATGATGCAGTTCCCGTATGACTGTGATTAATGGCAAAAAATATAAATTTCATCCATAGTCTACATTTGTCATAATGTATATGTTGTGGCTCATGTGGGTTGGACAGAAAATGTGTAAAAGCACCAGGCATAAAGAACAACCCTGTTGAGCCAAGCCAAAGGCCCATTTAGTCCAACATCCTGTTCACCACAGTGACTAAACAGGTGCGTTTGAGACATCCATGAGCAGGACATGAAGAAAATCGCCCTCTTCCAGCGTTCTGCTGTGACTGGTATTCAGAGGCATGGTGCCTCAAATTCTGACGGTGGTGCACAGACTAGACTAGAAGTCATTGATACCCTTTCCACGAATTTGTGTAATCCATTTTTAATGGGATTTAAATTGGTGCTATTACTGTAATGTCCACCATCAATGGGAAGTCATAAGTCGTGGAGACTGAAAATTAACAGCAGGAACACAGTTCAACAATATGCGATAGTGGAGGATGTGTGTATTTCACACATGCGTGAATGTACACAGTGTCCAAATAGAGAAGATGCACAGGGATGGGCACTTTCTATGAAAGATCCCACTTATCCCAGGAAATTGTGCACATTCCCTATCTGAGGAAAACAATGTGACTGCTCATAGCTCAGTTGCTAGGCCACAAGACTCTTAATCTAAGGGTTGTGGGTTCAAGCCCCAAGTTGGGCAAAAGATTCCCACATTGCAGGGGTTGGACTAGATGAGGCCTGTGATCCCTTCTAACTCCACAATTCTTACGATTCTATTATTTTAATGCATGTTTAGTAGGCAGTGTTCAAAATTCTGTGTTACGTTCTTTATACGTCCATATTTCCCACATTGCTCAATAGCTGTTTTTACACACATTCTTCATTAAACTCTCAAAACGTATAGTCCTCAGTTACTTAGATGAGCCTTTGAGAACCCTGTAAAATCAGTGTTGTAAAGCAGACTGGGAGCCTCCACTAAATTCCCTGCTTTACAAGAATGTGATGTTGATGGAGTGGCAAGATAAATTATTTGGCTAGATTGACAGAAGCCATTAGGGGTCAGCCCAAGCAAAAATTTCAAAAAGAATGGGGGAAATATAGAGAATACCTTAAAAAGCAGTGCCCTCAAATTAATACTTGGACTTGTTTCGATTAATTTCTGCAAAATAAATTATGGTATTAAAGTTAAAAACAGAAAGAAAATGGGGTAATAATGAACTAAGGAGGACGCAGTTTACCAAAAACGAAAAGAGAACCGTGTTGAGGATGAAGGAAGTCAATTGGAAGAAAAGAAGAATTGAAATTTTTTATGTGTATATATATATATATATATATATATATATATATATGACTATTTGATCTGTGTAAGTTTCCGTATGTTATTATGTTTTATTTGTATTTCTTTGTTTTTTGTTTTTTGATTATGTATTATTACTTTTATGTTTAGTTTTATGAGTGTTTGTGTATGTGTTGTAAAATAAACTTAATAAAAATAATTTTTTAAAAAAGAATGTGATGGTCATGGAAATGGCGACATGGATGGAGCTAGCGAGTTACTCCCCACCCCCAACTTTTGTTTACATCTTAATTTAATTTTAATTATTTTTATGAATTGAATTTCTATACTGCCCTTCATCGAAGGCTCACAAGGCAGTTTACAATATAAAACCCCCCAAAATACCAGTACATAGTATAGAAACAAACAAAATCAATAACCCACCCACAGTTTAAAAGGCCTGGGAGAAGAGTAATGTTTTCACCTGGCAAGATATTTAATTTCCCTATGGAGAGCATTGCAGCAGCGGGGAGTCACTGCAGAAAAGGCCTACTCTTGTGTTACTGCCCTCTCACAGAGAAGGCACACCACAAAGAAGAGTGTCAGATAATGATTGCAGGGTCTAGGTCAGTTCATATGGGGAGAGGTGGTCCTTGAACGTTTAATGCAAAGAGAGGGCTGCTTTGGTAGCTTTTGGCAATCACAATATGAATTTGATGACTGAAATATACTGTTCCCAGCAACTTCGAAATTATTAGATGTGAAGATATGCAGCTGTTTTTAAATGTTCTTAATGTTTTACCACAGTTCTGGAAGGGAGGTTCCAATAAAATAGCAAAGAGATGGATGGACTGGTTTTATTTTTAATTGCATCGCCATGTTTCTTTGAAAGGAAGGGAAAGTTAGAAATGGCATAAAGGATATTGGTAATAAATATAATGAACCATAGCTATCACTTTCATGCTTTCAGGGGGATCTTCCTCCAGTGTTGAAAACATAATACTGGACAGGATCATCTTTTGACCTGATTCAGTGTGAAAAGTGAAGTACCTAATATTACATATCTACTCAGAAGTGAGTCCCATTAAGTTCAATAGGGCTTATTCCTGGGTATGTGGCTGTAGAGTCACATTATAAATGTTAGTTAGATAACATCCAGTAATGATTATATACTATTTTTCTAATATGTTTGAAGATTCTTCTCCCTAAATATCACACACACACACACACACACACACACACACACACTCAAATATACTGTAACTTCAGGAGATCTAATAGAAAAGAGATTTTAATAAAACATTTTATACCATGCTCTCCTGAACTAAAAATTATGAGTTTGGAGCTGTTGTTGTTGATGTATCTTTTGGCCTTGGGCACAGTGAGATGGTGAATCGATCACTACTTATTAGTTTGTTTTTTACTTTATTGCAAAGCTTTCATGTGTCTGAAACAGCAATAAATTCTACTGTTTGTTTATGCGTTTGTGTGTGTCTTACAGTGGCAAAGTAAGGAATGTACTTGTTTTTTGAGCTTCTGTATGAGGAAAGCAAGGGAAAACCTAAGTTCTTTTGAGCAAATCCTTTTGAACTGAATGAGACCAGCTCAAGGGACAGCATAGCCTTGTCCAATCAAACTCTTCTCCAGAAGTCTTACCCCGTGTCTTATTTAGGTCTGTATCTTCTACTTCATCCTTTCATTTCAGCTCCACTCACCCTAAGAATACTGAGGAATCAGCTTTTAAAATGTTTGTTTTATATACAGTTTATGAGAGTTAACTGTGTATGTGGGGTTATGTAAAATGTTAAGCTGAAAATACTAAGTATCCCTTGCTGGCTGGCAATTGGCTGTTACTTAGTTGCCTAAGACTGGTCTGGGAAAAACTAGGTTATTTTTAGACTAAGTTAGAGGAGTGTAAAATTTCACTTCCAGTTGGGTTGCTGGATAGCAATTCTTGGTCACTCATTGGATGGAGAAAGCAGAGTGATGGAGGAAAATTATATACCACTCAAATTGATTGGATGAAGGGCAGGCTGGCCCAAGACATTTTGCCACCTAAGGCAAAACAGAAAATGGCACCCAAAACCCCATTCCTCCTCTTCCTCCACTGCTACCCTGCAATGACTAATAATAATTGGCATATAAATATGGAATATGAACTACGCTTTACAGTCAGGTAGGTAGCCCTGTTGGTCTGACGCAGTCGAAATAAAAAATTTAAAAAGGTGCTACTTGACTATTTTTTACACTTTACAGTGTTATGTATTCAAGTTACTGTATTTGGTAGCAATTGTCATTTATAATAACAATAATCTTATAACTTATTTGTTGATAAATGCTTCATTTGACAATTCTGAAAGATGGTAACTCTCAGAATGGAATTTTTGTGGGCCTGTCTGAATATTCATCTATAGCTTTGCTTTTAATTGTATATATCTCTGTCCTGTGACATTTGAGTGAAAGGAAAACTAGAAATATGGTAGGAAAACAAGTACCGTAAATAAAAATCTTATAAAAGGAAGCATAAATCCTAATGAAACAGTAACAAATTTAAGGATAATATTAACCTCATTTTACCTTTATAGTTAATAATAAAGAACATATTGTTATTTTTAATTACTTATAATATGTGTCTGGCTGGTTTTGCACTATGTCTAAAGTACTACAACAGCCACTAAGTTAGTAAACAGCAAAGTGAAGATATTTTGTGGCAGAGATTAGAAGGTTTTCATATGTGTGTCAATGGTAAGGTAAAGGTAAAGGTACCCCTGACCGTTAGGGCCAGTCGCGGATGACTCTGGGGTTGTGGCACTCATCTCGCTCTATATGCCGATGGAGCTGGCGTTTGTCCGCAGACAGCTTCTGTGTCATGTGGCCAGCATGACTAAGCTGCTTTTGGCAAACCAGAGCAGCGCACGGAAATGCCGTTTACCTTCCCACCGGAGTGGTACCTATTTATCTACTTGCACTTGACGTGCTTTTGAACTGCCAGGTGGGCAGGAACTGGGACCGAAAAATGGGAGCTCATCCCGTCGCGGGGATTCAAACCGCCAACCTTCTGATTGGCAAGCCCTGGGCTCTGTGATTTAACCCACAGTGTTACCCGCATCCCTAAGTCAATGGTAGGATTGAGAGTAAAACAGGAACCCCTCCACACACCTGGCAAATCAGCAGTGGAAAACAGAAGCTCCACATTTTAAGGAGTGATGCTTCTCCACAAAGAATGTAAGTAGAGTCCTGCTGGTTCAGGCCAAAGCCTATCTAGTCTGTTATGCAAGTCTCCCATGTAGAGCAGATCAGAACTGAGACAGCTATAGGGCAGGAAAAGTGGATTTTACCATTTAATGTGGTCCTAATCCAAAGCACGCCTCTGCACCTGCTTATATGAGCCTCAAGGATTGAGGCTGATATCGACTGTAGAAGAAGGGTGAAGGGTAAAACCCTCTCCTCCACAGGGTCCTGATTCAGATCACAAGCCATGGCCCTTCAATTTACAGTTAAAAACTAATCCCTCCCCATGGAACTGCTAATTTAATAAATGAGGTCACATTTAGTTTGGCCCTCAGAGTTAGGAAACAAGTTGTGCAAAGACTCCTTCAGAAGGCACAACAAATCAAATCCGTTTATTGTGAGGACCATGCCTGTACACAAACATTAACATAACAATAGTTAAAAAAAAATATTAAAATTCATTACATACTACGCCAACAAAACCTTCATCCCACAAAATAGAAAGAGAGGGAAAACGAGCAACGAGTTAAACAGACGATGAAGGGGTCTTTACATTGTCATCCATAAGTCTTTCCCTGGCTTTCATGGCCTTCATCACAAAAACCGCTACCACATGGGTAATACGTGGGTTTGCATCAACTAACAAAAATTTTACTCTATCTTCAGGATTGGTTATAGAGTTGGGTATAATTTGCAGCAATGCGTCTCTAAAGCCCGAGTAGATGGGGCAATAGAGGAGGTAATGTGTAAGATCCTCTTTAATTTTCATTAGGCAAGGGCATAAACGATGTTCTACTGGGGTTTTTGTGAATCTACCGGTCAGATATGCAGTTGGCAGTGTTTGAAACCGTGCCATAGTGAAAGCTCTCCGAAGGGTGGGATCAGTGATCTCCACCAAGTAGTTGGCACAGATTTTGACTGCTTTTACTCGGGAAACCAGTAGGAAAACCCAGAGTTTTTATCTTTGTGGAGTCTAAAAAGGCGTCTTTTTCAAAGATCCATTCCCGAACTTTATCAGGGCTCCACAATTTAAGGGTATTAAACTCAGGTAGATTGTATCTGGATAGGATATCTAGTAGGTTTTTATACCAAGTAGTATTATTTTGTACTGATACAAAGGCTTGTTTAGCCAATAAGGTGTTCGGGGCATCTGTGAGGTTGATGAAAAAACGCAGGAATCTTAAGTGGGCCCTGGCAGACACAGAAGGTAATCCTACTTCCACTCTTAGGAGAGCTGCCGGAGTACTCTGAGGGAGGCCTAGAATTCTTCTGAGGTAAAAATTTTGGAAGATTTCAAGCCGTTCTAACAGCTTCTGATTCCATCCCCAGAGTTCTACTCCATATAGCATCTGGGGAATCACTTTTCCAACAAAAGCTTTTAATGCCGGGATCACCAGTTGACCTCCCTCGAATAAAAAAGCTGAGCAAAGCACCGATTGTCCTACGTGTTAGAAGGGCTACAGTCTTGAAGTGGGCAAGCCAGCTAGATGTAGCTTGGAAAGTGATACCAAGATATTTAAAAGAAAGACACTGTTCAATTTTGTGTTCATCTAAAGACCATCTAAATGTGTGGCGAGCTCTAGTGAATACCACAATTTTTGTTTTGTCATAATTTATCTTTAGAGAATTTTGGGAACAATAAGCTGCGAGCCCCTCCAGCATGCTATGTAGGCCCCTTCGAGTAAGTGCCATGACAGCCATGTCATCAGCATATAGTAATATATTCAGGTGTTTGCCTTCCAGGGCAGGAGCTGATGAGTTATACTTTGCCATATGTTGAACAATGTCATTTATATAGAAATTAAAGAGGAACGGCGCTAACAAACAGCCCTGTTTAACCCCTTTCCCCAGTGGCAGTGGGTCAGTATAGTTGCCTGACATCCCAGTTCTGATTTTAACTGTGGTGTCTGAATGTAACTCTCTAAGTATTTTGAGAAGTCGTCTATCAATATCTGTTTCATATAGTTTTTGCCATAATTTGTCCCTACAGATTGAATCAAAAGCGGATGCAGAAGGCACAACAATGATATCTAGTAGCCATTAGAAGAGAGACTTGGTTAAGTTTGATGAATGTATTGGCTTTGTGTAGTTTGTCTAACATTAATGTGATAGATCTTTTGAAATATTTGTTGAAGGTCCTGCTGTTGGGCCAAATGTCATCACAAGTAAGTTTCCATACAGTGCATTCATTAACCTGATCAATATACACTATTTGACAACCAATTGACATAAACTCATAGCTTGCCCCATTCTTTTGCACTGTTTATGCAAAACAATAACATGATTTCTTCCCCCCCCCTCTGATTAGCACTATGATGCAGTTTCTCCGGTGCTGAGCATGGCATATATCTCTGTGCACAGTTAAGTGTTTGCTCATGCAAAGTGTCTAGGAAGCAAAGCATTCTGGCAGGAAACTCCATCAAAGATATTGTTCTGCAAATTTTCAGACTCTCTGAGACACTAATGAACAGTTAGATGCAAGGAGTATATAATTTATACATCACCATGTTTGCTTATTTGTCAAGTGTGGCTTAATTAAGTCTGTACTTTCTGCCACATTCTGCTTAATCTTGTGGTATAAAATTATGGAACATTACCTCTGACTGTAACGGCTGCAGTGTGGGGTTCTATTCAGAGCCCTAGTTAACTAAGCAATGAAAAGCTCTTCATCAAAACTTCCATTAATGAAAGAACATCTACCCCAGAGCTCGGAGCAGAGCTATTCATACAGTTGTACACGTTCAGCCAGTAGGTGGGCTAGGAACTACCACTGTATAGTCTTAAAGTTATAAATATATTCCAGCGGAGGTTATTTCATCTAAATGCTTTCATCTAATTTTCTTTTCACTTCACCATCATTTTGCCCATACTGATGCTTAATCCTTCCCATTGCCCAGTGAGCTTTTAATCATGCACCTTCCTCTGTGCGCGCTCTCCCTCTCCCCAGTTTCTTTTTTTAAAAAAGAAAAGAACCATCTTCTAATTGTAAGATGCATTGACCTGCAACATTCCTAAGAAATCCAATTTATTATTCTACTAATCTGAACCTAATAAATTGATTCCCACTGCCAAGCCTAGTGGCACATGGGAATGAGTAGAATGCTTGCATGTAGCCATCATCATCTATAGAATATCATCACAGGTGTGCCTCTTTCCCCATCTCACTTGCACATCCCCAACCCATCTAGAGTACTGTCAGGGCCTTTTCTGTGTCTGACAGTACTCATTGCTATGGGCAGGAATGAGGAGGAGGAGGAGAGTTGTTGCTGTTCCCCGGCAGCCATTTTGTTCTGGCACCCATGACACTTTTATCAATATATGAGTATATATGAGTCCCTTATTCTTTACCTACCAACCTCTTTTTCTCTCTGCCCCAACTACTGTATATCGTGCAGGGATCCCTGGATGATTAAGTCCAGTCAAAGGCGACTATGGGGTGCAGCACTCATTTTGCTTTTCAGGCCGAGGAAGCCGACATTTGTCTACAGACAGCTTTCTGGGTCATGTGGCCAGCATGACTAAACTGCTTGTGGCACAATGGAACACCGTGATGGAAGCCAGAGTGCACGGAAACGTCGTTTACCTTCCCACTGCAGTGATACCTGTTTATCTATTTGCACTGGTGTGCTTTCGAACTGCTAGGTTGGCAGAAACTGGGACAGAGCAACAGGAGCTCACCCTGTCGCATGGATTCGAACCACCTTCCGATCGGCAAGCCCAAGAGGCTCAGTGGTTTAGACGACAGCGCCACCCGCATCCCTGTATATACAATCCATTTGATGCAATAGAAGGGTGATTAACATCACATGAACCAATGTAGATGACCAATCAGACAACAGTAGAGAGGTGGGTGCATGTGGTGTTTACTCCCCTATCTAGAATAGAACCATGTTGCCCGTCTGTCCTGCCTGTTTGTACTGGGGTGACAGAGAAGGGAGAATGGGGACATAGGAAATATGCATAGACCTCCAATGGCTACTAGTTGCTTGTCCCTCTGGTGAATTATGTATAGCTGAGTGAAGTGTATCTAGGGCTCTGTTGAGCCTATGGGAATCCTCCATGTATGGCTTCTGTCCCCACAGCTGACCGGATCTGTATTTGTTCTACCTTATTTCTAAGCTCAATGACATTCAGGTATTTTGGCAAATAAAATAAATGGATCACCATGCAGTGATTGATACTGAAGATTCTAGATTGTGAGTTGCCTATTATGGCAATTTATCACTATTTATACTTGTTGAGTTAAAATAAGACCATGTGTACAGCCATACAAATGCACCTCATCGCCATAGGATTGAACAGGGCAAAAGCGGAACATGTATTAAATTTGCTGCAGACCTTCATTCATTTTGCACTCATAACGTAACAGCTCAGGAGACAGTATGCATTTGTGCATGAATAAAAAATACAGCTTTCTAAAACTGACTTATGCCCACTGTAGATAGCCACTTAGAAAATTCAATCTGAAGGTATCCACACACTGATGTAGTTCAGGTTGGGAAAAGTATGCTATTACAGCTTCAGCTTCCACTTACTTTTAAACAAAAGGGGATAACAAAATACTGCCTTTGTCATGAATCTACTGTGTTCTTATCTAGTATTAAGCAAGATGTAATATTTATCAGATAATAGCCCAGACTTACTTTTGATTTTGCACAATTAATATGTAAGTGGTTTGACATTTTATAAATGCGTATGCCCTTTTCTGAGAACAAGAAGGCTATAAAATTTATTTAATGTACTTCAGAGTTCAGCCATCCACCTTGCAACTGCTGGAGTAGTCAATTTGGAAAGTTGGTTTTTTAAAAGAAAAATGTTCTTTTCTCGTTTTAGGGATTGTGAAGAAGTGGTTTTGCTAGGGTAGCTAACTTCTTAAGGGCTCAACCAGACATCCACGCTTTTAGGCACAGGTCTGGGCTTTTGAGGTCTGTGTCTCAGTGCTGCTGCTGTTTTATCCTACAACTTTCTTTGGGAAAATCCACTGTTTACCACTTAATCAGAACAAATGGCAATTGGGTTTTCCATGGATTGCTATGTTTCAAATAGTGGTAGATAGCAGGTTTTCCCACTTTTATGATAACACTAACTACACCTAATGGGTGAGATATCATATTCAATTATGTCTGCCCACTGGCACAAACGGAGCTTGTGTAATAGGACAATTTTGACCTCGCTCAGCACGCCATATTACCAAAGTTGGCCCCCAGTTGAATCTTGCCAATGATTCTTTAAATTAATATTTGAAACAGCTTCTTTTTTAACTCAGCTAAGCAAACGAATATATAACCATCCCAATAGGACATAAGTTCTTCATTAACTCAGCTGTTTTGACCTAAGCTGAATTTCAAGACACCTAGTAACAGCTCCAACTTTTAAGTTATGACTCTGATGCGATTAAATATAGCCACACCCACAATGGTTGAATATTGTACAGATTATGAGAGATAGTTTGTTATTTTTGGTGTTTTGTCCTTTTAGAGCAGATCATTTTGTAATCTTATATTTTCGGAGTGCATATTTTTGTATTTTTAAGTACCTTGACGAAACAGCCTTTTTTAAAAAAAACTGTGCTGGAAACTTACCAGCTTACCAACTGTGCTGGAAACTTACACCACCTTTAGCTTTTTTTTCTCTGACAGTTTTCCATACTCTCTCGTCTGGCATGCTTTTATGTAATTCGCAAGACTCTTTCATATGCACTATTTGCTTCAGTCAGTTATATCTCGTATACTTAGCTCACAATAAAATCAATGACTTAGTAACAGATTTAAAGAAAAATAATGATGGTCTTTAAGAATATTAGTTGTTTAGAGCCTCTTCAATCACCCAAGGTGTTTGTGAGTGGAGCTTCTACTGACTTTGAAGGCCGTGAAAAGTCACATTAAGGGAGCCACTTGCTAAGGCATGCCAGGAGTAGATTGTATGAGGCCTTGAGGATATTATGACATATACAGCGGTACCTCAGGTTACAGACACTTCAGGTTACAGACGCTTCAGGTTACAGACTCCACTAACCCAGAAATAGTACCTTGGGTTAAGAACTTTGCTTCAGGATGAGAACAGAAATCACATGCCAGCGGCGTGGCGGCAGCAGGAGGCCCCATTAGCTAAAGTGGTGCTTCAGGTTAAGAACAGTTTCAGGTTAAGAACGGACCTCCGGAACGAATTAAGTTCTTAACCCAAGGTACCACTGTATGATTACAATACTTGTGAACTGGGTGATTAAAGTCACTACTCAGCTGTGTGGAATTCACAATCTCATCCTTTTCTTAGAGGGAGGCAAACATGTGACTCTGTCTCCACCCAATTCGGAGTTCCTACGCCCTGTTCAGGAGAACTTGAAGGTGTGGTTATGCATCTCCAGAACGAATTAAGTTCTTAACCCAAGGTACCACTGTAACCTTAAAAAATGAATGCAAAGAGACAAAAAATAAATAAATAGTAGAAATGCAATGCATGTAACATGATCCGATTTGAACAAATGTTGAACTGTGCCTTGTTCTTCTTAGATATAGTACTAAAGGTCTTATGCTGACAGAATGCTGACAGAACTCAATTTGAGGAGTGGCCTTTTTATGTCATGTGAAGTTAGGGGGCCTGCAAGGAGATTGAAATTCACAATACACTTGGACACCTTCCTTATTGTGTGTTTTCACCCTTGATCCTGTCTCATGCGCTGATCTACATTTCAACAAAAAGTAAGGGATGAATATATTTAAATGCAGAGTTCTGGAAAAATGATATACTGTAATGCAGTTCCCACCTCCAAATGTTTTGGACTACAACCTCCCATCATCCCCAGGCAGTGGTGGGCACCAGGTTGGGGGCAGGTAGTCTCTTTCTGAGACTAGGTGGGAGGCCCTTTGCATCTGTGTTTCTGTCTCCTGCCTCCACCACCCCATGGATTTTGTTTCTGAACTCTACTTTCCCACAGACCCCTCCCATTAACTATATAAATATAAAGTCCCAAACTCTGGAAGTGGGAAAAAACAGCAACAATTTCTTTAGGAAGATTTCAATAGTAAGGATGGCATGAATGGGCCAGGGGTAGAATGGACAAATTTATTCAGGGTTTTTAATTTATTCTTAAAAAACAGCAACAACTGGACTTGAAGAGTGATTTAATGCCTGGTTCATCTCTGAGACAATTAACTTTATAATGGGATCTAAAGAGGCTCACAAGAGTTTCTTGCTATATGTATCTGCTGAATGAGAGCAGCAAATGTGTCCAGTTCACAAAGTGACATTAAGCAAGACTTGTCTTTGGCTAACTCTTGTATTTCTACTAGTGACTAATGTGCAATGGACGGGAGTGGGTTCTATGGAGAAGGGCAATAGCTCAGTGGTAAGGGTATCTGCTTTGCATGCAGAAGGTCCCGGGTTCAATCCCTGGCAACTGCAGGAAGAGTTGGGAATGCCATCTGTCTGCAAGCCCAGAGAACTGCTGCCAATCAGTGAAGACCATATTGAGCAAGATGGACCACTGGCCTGATTAGTTATAAGGTGGAATTCAATGTCCACACTATGGTGCTCATTCCACGTGCACCAGCATTTCTGCTTGCCAGGTGAAACTATCTCTCCCTGCCCCCTGCATACTGTTCCAGCCATTCCCTCTGCTCTCCAGAGTGGATTTGGGGAAGGCATAGTGGACATGCAAGGAGAGAAGTCCCCTTACACTAATAGGAGTCCCTGCACTGGCTTCTGCTAGCAAGACGACTGAGTTGAATTTAGACCTATTATGATCCACTGAGATCAATTTCATCAGATCTACAGCTTCATATTTGATAATGTCTCTGAGTTTCTTGACTTTTTTGTGTAAGCTACAGACAAAACTGACATTAGTTTAAGTGCACTTTGTTCAAGCCTTTGACAAGTCAATATTTTTGTTTTACTTGAATGACTTTAGAATATTGCATTATTATATTTTTAATTACTTGGGATATGGATTTTCTTTTCACTGAGGAACTGAATATTGGCTTGCACAGTGCATTTTATTGGTATTAATGAGTCATGAAGCTGGCATGACTATCATTTTCCCAAGTAATTCTTGGGACTGAAATTCTGGTGACAACTTCTATACTGGCAATCTCACAAATTTTACAGCTGAACAAACCATGACATTTTGAAAACCAAATCAAACCATTGGTGTATCTAGATCCGTATAACCTCCACAGACTCCAGAGTTTCTGACAGGAATTTTTTCCAACCCTATCTGGAGACGGCAGGGATTCGACCTGGGAATTTCTACATGCAATACACATGCCCTTCCCCTCAGCCAGGGATGGGCAACCTTCAGTTGTTGGGCTCCAATCTCATCAGTTCCAGTCAACATGACCAATGGTCAAGGATGATGAGAGCTGTAGTCCATCGACATCTTGAGGGCCACATGTTTTCAATCTCTGTCCTAAGCTCTGCTCAACAAGATTTGCCCCAATTGCTCCCACCTGCACTCCAGATAACTTCCCTGTGACTAGGGAATGTACAAATTTGACCATTTTGGTTCTCTAAGTGTCTCAGTTTTCTATGATGATTGAGTTATTTACATTAAAAAACATCTTGATGAAAAATTGTCAGCATTTTGGTGCAAATTTCTCCCAATAAACATTTCAGTATGTAATTTTGACTGATGAACATGTAATTTCCCCACATGTAATATAATTTTGCTTATACTGTATATGCATTTTTGCACACATCACTAGAGAACTGCATTGCAAAATGGAAAGAATTGAGAATTTTGAATGATAGCTGTGTTTTAGTTCACATAATGTTTCAAAAAGTGTGAATTTGACAGGTTTGCCCCTCAGTGCAAACTGAATCAAATTTCTACCTCATCCCTACCTACAACTTCATCCATATATCAGAGTCATAGAGGAAACTAAGAAGTCATTGCTGGGTAGAGGTGGTATCTAGGCAAAACTTTGTCAAGACTTTGAGAAACATTTTTATTCCATTGATTTATCATACTGGTGATAATAGTAAGGCTGGCAACTAGTTGGATTCCCCTAGTCTTCAGAGTTGAATAATTAAAGATGGCTCACAAGGAGCACTCCACTCAGTGCTCTGCCTAGCCCTTTTGAATATTTTTGGGAAATTGCCCAGACGGAATGGTTTTTATTGAACTGTGCATTGTGTTTTTAACTTTTAACTAGTTTATGTGTTATGCATTTTACTTGCTGTATCCTTCCCTGGAGTCCTGTGATGAAAGGCAGGATATAAATGATACATGTCATCTTGTAAAGAGATCTCAACCTGCATTTGTATTAGAAAGAGGGAACAAAGGAAACTTTCAAATGTTCCTGGAGTTTCACACGCTAGCTAATTAGGGATATGAAACACATACATTTAAATAAGTATTGGAGACAGCCTGAGATTTGAGAAATCAGAAGTGCCTGTCAAAAACAAAGCATATCAGTGACATGTTCGGCAAAAAAATACAGACATGCACTCAAAATGCAAACATGGAAATAAAAAAACTTATCTCTTCACAGTTGTTGCAAAATAGATTGTGTCTTTTTCCTTCTCCATAGCAATACCTGATTTAGACGGAGATTAGACAGAGATTTTACATTATACATGGAGATTAAACCTTAGCTGAAGTTAGCAGAAATGGAGAAAGGAGGCAAAGAATTTTAAGTAGAGCTTGATAGTGCATACTCTGTGGTTACATGGAAGATTTGCCATCTCTTATGAATAATGCATACAATATGCTTCTCTTCGCAGAATAATAAGCCATCTAGTGAAATGTTTGAAAGAGGCTGCAATTTACCCGGCCAGAGAGGAGACAACACAGATATTAGTTGGCTCATTATCAGTCAAAATGACTTTGCTTCAGGCAGTTTACAATTCCAAACCCCACATCTGGATCCTATGGATCCCTTTTGTTGTAATCATGCATAGCTGGGCACTGCATGCTTGGGAAATCCACAATGCTATTCTGCCTATCAGTTGTAATCTGAATTTAAAAGGTCATTACCAAATGTTAGGGAAGTTTACATCAATGTATTTTGACCAAGCATCAGCAATGGGTGGTGGACAGCTCAAAGCATGCATCTCAGCAGGATTGTGAGTGGATTTCAGATGGAGGTGGACCATTGGGACAGATCCTGTAGAGCAGTGGCTCAAAATCAGAGGCAATCTGGAGGCAATCGGTCATACAGGTCAGGCTCCAAGCCAAGGTAGTCTGGAAAGGGATGAAGGAAGTAGCAAGCTGGAAGGTAGGCAAGCAGAAAGGGACAGAATGAAGAAGACAGGAAGACTAGGAAGCTACACAAAGCTGAAAAATGACTGTTGACCAGGACCAAGCCTTCACCTTTCTAGTCAGGTCAGATTAGAAGGAATCAACAGTATCCAGGAGGATAGAACCATGGTGGAACCTGGAAGACAAGTCTTCTCTTTCTTCCTCTATTGTGCAGCTTTAGGAAGGACCACAGCTCAGGAATAGAGCACATGCTTCAGATGCAGAGGTTTCAGGTTCAATGAGCTGCTGGTGAGGCTGGGAACATCCACTGTCTGAAACCCAGGAAATACACTGCCAGTCATTGTGAATCAGGATTCTTCAGTCTTGAGTTTCCAGATGTTTGACTATAACTCCCATCATCTCCAGCTAGCTACACCAACCAGTCATTTAACCTAATTGTAAGGTGTGGTTTGCATTCTCCATAGTTTATATCTCCAGCCTTGGTTTGAATTTCCAAATATACAAGCAAACCATTGCTAAAAGTTGCTTGTTAATTTCCCATCTGCCCACCACTCCAGTATCTAAGGATGGTGGCCACTGGAAGTGGAACACTGGACTTGATCATTTGTCAATTCAGACATCATGCTAAACCATGGTTTACAACCCTGCTTCAATACAGTGTGCCTGGATCTGGTTTGCTGACTGATTTCATGTCAATATTTGTTGAGGCCCCACACTAAACCATAGTGAATCTTTGTTAACTGTGGCCTGAGGTGCTGCCTGAACTGATTCTGTGTGTTCACATTAATTTTGGACCATAACTGCTGCATTGAGAAACTGAGTAATATCTCTCTTCATCAACTTTACCAGTTTGAAGAGATTGTGTTGTATGAGAAAAATAAACATAAACATTTCCTGCTATATGGCGTAACGAATTGTGAACATGATAGACAATGTGCCATAACAATAATGGCACCAGCATATCATTGTGATATGCTACTTATCTGAAATGTAAAAGAGCACAGACTTTCCTTTGCCTTCTTCCTCATTAACTTTCAAAGTGGGGAAGCTTTTGCACAATGTATGTGCAGTTCCACATTGTGTTTGACAAGAATATTATGCATTTCGCACAAAACAATGTACTTGTCACTAAAGAAAAATTGAGCAGCATTGAACTATCCATGGAGCTTCAGTGTGAAGATTTACATTCATCTATGTCAAGATGAAGGATTCATTACCTACATATATCTTGCTGGCTTTAGAAAACAAACACAATCTGTAATTCCACAGCACTTTTGCCAAAAGGGCTAGACTGCAGCAGATTGCTTCAGTAGGTCAAAAGAACATATGTATGAGTTAGAACCAACTTTTCTTATATAGGTGTGAGTTAGTTTCATGAATGGTTTAACACTATATGATGGACAAACTTGCCTCAATCCATCCTGACATTTATTTGCAATTTCATTCCTGGTATTTTCTCTTCCATTATAATGGCTTTTTTTTTTTACAAGTCTTTCTTCTCTTTCACCATCCATTGATGCAGAAATACATATTTTTATGCATGTCCATCATGTGCTATTATATACATACCTCAGCCATCAACAGATATGTACACATTTATTCCTGGATTTGAACAGGATCCTCATTTCACTCAAGTCACTTTACAGAGTTTGAAAGCAATGATTATACAACTGGTAACTACAGCTTAACAGCATCCTTGGGATGCCATAAAGAGTTGACTGAAAACTGAAAGCAAATCAAATAGAAGAAAAGAATGTTTGAAGCCAGCATATGTTCCTATAAAATTTAATGTGTTTTTTTTTGCAGAGGCTTTTTGTGAGTGTGTGGGTGTGAGTGCAATAAAGGCAATTCATTAAGCTCAACGGTGCACATTACATGACATTCAAAGTTAAGCTTTAGCATTTCAAGGAACAAATAAAGAACACTAGATTAAAAAACAAACTTTCATTTTATAGTGGGGGGAGGGGAGAAAGCAAAATAATTTTGGTAATTAGAAATGCTACTCAATTTGCTGAACACATGTCGTCTGCAATTAATCATAACGTCCTTCTGGACCGTCTGGAGGAGCTGGGAGCTGGGGGCACTGTTATACAGTGGTTCCGCTCCTTCCTCCTAGGCCATGTCCAGAAAGTGGTGGGGGGGGATGAGTATTCAGACCCCTGGACCCTCACTTGTGGGGTTCCGTCCTCTCCCCCATGGTTTT